ATATCTCTTTCCATTACTGGAAGGTTTAGAGAGTGGTTCCACAATATCCACAGACACTTTTGCAAATGCCTCCCCGACAATGGGTAACGGCTGCAGGGGTACCTTACTAGGTTCCTTTGCACTTCTGACACGAATCACAGCTTCTGCAATAATCCCTCACTGTTTCAAAAAGATGAGGCCAGTAGAAATTTTGCTTTAGCCTGTCACACATTCTTTCCACTCCCAGGTGCCCTGCAAATGGACCATCATGAGCTAACTTTTCTATCAGGTTTCAGAGTAGCAGCTGTGTTAGTCTATATCCGCAAAAAGAACAGGAGTACTTGTGGCACCTTAGAGACTAACAAATTTATTTGAGCATAAGCTTTCGTGGACTACAGCCTACTTCATCGGATGCATGTAGTGGAAAATACAGTAGGAAGATATATATATACACAGAGAACATGAAACAATGGGTGTTACTATACACACTATAAGGAGAGTGATCCGTTAAGGTGAGCTTTTATCAACAGGAGAGAAAAAGAATTGTTTGTAGTGGTAATGAAAATGGCCCATTTCCAGCAATTGACAAGGAGATATAAGGAACTGGTGGGAAGAGGGGGGAATAAGCATGGGGAAATAGTTTTACTTTGTGTAATGGCCCATCCACTCCCAGTCTTTGTTCAAGCCTAATTTAATGGTGTCCAATTTGCAAATTAATTCCAATTCAGCAGTCTCTCGTTGGAGTCTGTTTTTGAAGTTTTTGTGTTGTAATATTGTGACTTTTAGGTCTGTAATCGAGTGGCCAGGGAGATTGAAGTGTTCTCCAACTGGTTTTTGAATGTTATAATTCTTGATGTCAGATTTGTGTCCATTTATTCTTTTGCGTAGAGACTGTCCAGTTTGGCCAATGTACATGGCAGAGGAGCATTGCTGGCACATGATGGCATATATCACATTGGTAGATGTGCAGGTGAACGAGCCTCTGATCATATGGCTGATGTGATTAGGTCCTATGATGGTGTCCCCTGAATAGATATGTGGATAGAGTTGGCAACGGGCTTTGTTGCAAGGATAGGTTCCTGGGTTAGTGTTTTTGTTGTGTGGTGAGTGGTTGCTGGTGAGTATTTGCTTCAGGTTTGGGGGCTGTCTGTAAGCAAGGACTGGCATGTCTCCCAAGATCTGTGAGAGTGATGGATCATCCTTCAGGATAGGTTGTAGATCCTTGATGGTGCGCTGGAGAGGTTTTAGTTGGGGGCTGAAGGTGATGGCTAGTGGCGTTCTGTTACTTTCTTCGTTGGCCCTGTCCTGTAGTAGGTGACTTCTGGGTACTCTTCTGGCTCTGTCAATCTGTTTTTTCACCTCAGCAGGTGGGTATTGTAGTTGTAAGAATGCTTGATAGAGATCTTGTAGGTGTTTGTCTCTGTCTGAGGGGTTGGAGCAAATGCGATTGTATCATAGAACTTGGCTGTAGACAATGGATCATGTGGTGTGGTCTGGATGAAAGCTGGAGGCATGTAGGTAAGTATAGCGGTCAGTAGGTTTCCGATATAGGGTGGTGTTTATGTGGTCATCGTTTATTAGTACTGTAGTGTCCAGGAAGTGGATCTCTTGTGTGGACTGGTCCAGGCTGAGGTTGATGGTGGGGTGGAAATTGTTGAAATCATGATGGAATTCCTCAAGGGCTTCTTTTCCATGGGTGCAGATGATGAAGATGTCATCAATGTAGCGCAAGTAGAGTAGGGGCATTAGGGGACGAGAGCTGAGGAAGCGTTGTTCTAAGTCAGCCATAAAAATGTTGGCATACTGTGTGGCCATGCGGGTACCCATAGCAGTGCCACTGATTTGAAGGTACACATTGTCCCCAAATGTGAAATAGTTATGGGTGAGGACAAAGTTAAAAAGTTCAGCCACCAGGTTTGCTGTGACATTATTGGGGATACTGTTCCTGACGGCTTGTAGTCCATCTTTGTGTGGAATGTTGGTGTAGAGGGCTTCTACATCCATAGTGGCTAGGATGGTGTTTTCAGGAAGATCACTAATGGATTGTAGTTTCCTCAGGAAGTCAGTGGTGTCTCGAAGATAGCTAGGAGTGCTGGTAGCATAGGGCCTGAGGAAGGGAGTCTACATAGCCAGACAATCCTGTTGTCAGGGTGCCAATGCCTGAGATGATGGGGCATCCAGAATTTCCAGGTTTATGGATCTTGGGTAGCAGATAGAACACCCCTGCTCGGCGTTCTAGGGGTGTGTCTGTGCGGATTTGCTCTTGTGCTTTTTCAGGCAGTTTCTTGAGTAGATGGTGTAGTCTCTTTTGGTAACCCTCAGTGGGATCAGAGGTTAATGGCTTGTAGAATGTGGTGTTGGAGAGCTGCCTAGCAGCCTCTTGTTCATATTCCGACCTATTCATGATGACAGCAGCACCTCCTTTGTCTGTGTGTATATATATATATATCTTCCTACTGTATTTTCCACTACATGCATCCGATGAAGTGGGCTGTAGCCCACGAAAGCTTATGCTCAAATAAATTTGTTAGTCTCTAAGGTGCCACAAGTACTCCTGTTCTTTTTAACTTTTCTGTATCTCTCTGGTATCACAAGCTGTTTGCAGATACTACCATGAGGATGCTTTTTCCCTATAGAGATTTGCTATAAGAAACCATCTTGCATGAAAAATCTGCCTTTCCCTTCCCCAGCTGGGGCTTGATTCTGTGCATCAGTTCTGGCCCTCTCTAATGAAACATCATTTTTCTGCACCATAATAAACTCCTTCTGTGTTCCATTCAAGTTCAGAGCCATCTCTGACACATCAGACAAATTCTCAGTCGGCACAAGCTGAGATACACTCTCTGCCTGTTCACAGTTTCCCTCACTGACATCATGCAGGGTATCTGCATCAGAGCCATACTTTCCCTGTGACCTGGTCACGATGTTAACCTGATTAAACGTAGCTGAAAGATCATTACCAATCAAGATATCAGCAGGTAACAAATCTCTAATACGAAACACCATATCACCTTCAAAACTTTCCCCAGATTCTGGCCAAAGGCACTTTTACAGAAACCTCAGAGAGAGACAATATGTTCACACGCTTATCTGGCAACAAAGCAGTTCCTCTCTGACCAATTCCCCTTTAACTAAAGTAATATCAGATGCAGTGTCTCACTATCCTGTACACATAATTCCACTGACCTTTGCACTCCTTATGAATTCCTCATTACCCCTCCACATCTCAGTCCTAATATAATTTGAAGCTATTTTCCTCTTCCACCACCTCATTTGGAATTAAAGTGCTAGCATTAACACCTGCAAGGTTGGTGTTTGTACTCAAAGTGGCAGTGTTGGTGCTTATATGGTTAGCCTCTGTATTCAGAATAACAGCATTGGAATTTATTATGGGTGCAGATAGTGGGGTGTTTTTAAGGTTTGGGCAATTTGGTTTTATATGACCAGGGGTCCCACATTGGTGGCAGATAACCTGTTTCCCCTTAGGGTGAGATGTTTTATGTTCTGGACTCCCAGTAGTCTTTCTAATAAAGTTGGAGTTCTTCTTCGAGTGATTGCTCATGTGTATTCCACAATAGGTGTGCATGTTCGCCATGTGCACCGGTGCCGGAAGTTTTTCCTCTAGCAGTACCCATAGGGGAGTGCCCCAGCAACACCTGGAGTGGTGCCTCCATGGCGCGGTAGAAGGGGCGCACTCCCCCCACCCTCAGTTCCTTCTTGCCACCAGTGAAGGTACTTCGGAACTGCTCTGCTCCAGCTTTGCTGTAGCTCGTCTCCGAAACTGCTTGTTTGTTCAGTGTATGGTACCTTTAGTTAGTTTAGTTTAGTTTAGCTAAAGCGCCTGGGCCTGGGCATGCCGCATGCCCTGGGTTTTAAGTCGTGCGACACTTGTAGGCGATCTATGCCACTGAGTGATCCGCACGCAGACTGTCTGTGCTGTTTGGGGGAAACCCATCTCAGTGATCGCTGCAAGATTTGCAAGTCGTTTAAGCCTCAGACCAAGAGAGAAAGGGACATTAGGCTCCGGGCCATCCTGATGGAGTCAGTGCTGACCCCGGCTCCGGCACACCGCTCCGAGTCGGCACCGGGCACCCTGGTGTAGGTGCACGGCGACCCTCCGGCACCATCAACTAGTCAGCACCGCTCCCCATCTACGGGGCATGCCAAGAAGGCTAGGAAGAGGCCTTCTTCACCGCGGCACCAGAGTAAACCTGGGACAGAGGCTAGACCCACGGCCTCTAGACCACCAACTCAAGTCAAGTGGAGTAGACCAGCCCATTCGGGTCAGGCCTCACCAGATGTCCGGATGTCCAGGCAGCCCAGGATGTTATGTCCATGCTGGTACCAGGAGCACCGCCGATGTTGGCCCCGTGCTCCAGAGGCAAGCCACCGCTAGGATCTCCGCAGTCACCCCCGGCTCGATACTGGTCTCGGTCGAGGGAATGTTCCCGACGCCATTCACCGCCTACCGACTGTTCAGAGCAAAGTCCACGTGGATCGCCCTCCACGCCCACCAGGCTGTCTGGTTGGGTTCCGTCTGACCGAGATTCTTGGCACCGCTCCACCTCGAGGAGCGAACACTGACGGGACCAAGGCAGACATCACCAAAGGTCCTCATCTCGGAGGGGCTATCGCAGCCGATCACAGCACGAACATCGACGTCGTTCCCGTTCGGCATCCCGCTCCAGGACCCCGCCACAGCACCGCCTCTGCAGCCCCAGGCATCGATCACCAGCGTCTCACCGTCGCGGGTCCACCTGCCGGAGCCGATCACGGAGCAGCTGTTACCGACGGTACCGGTCCTCCACGTCGGGATCGCGGTCCCGTGGTCGGCATTGCTCCCGGCACCGCCGCTCCTCCTGGTCCAGCGACAGCAGCAGGTCGTATGTCAGCCCGGCCTCCCTTCGTAGTTGTCCATCAATGGGTCAGGCCAGCCAGGCCGAACAGCCGGCTCCGCCGGTGCCACAGCAGGTGCAGTGGCACCGGGCCCCATGGCCGGCCCAATGGTACCAGTGGGCACCATGGCCCCTGACTCAGCCCCCGGTGGAGGCTCGCTCAGTGGCCGGAGCCTCAGCAGGACCATCGGCCTCCCTCTCCAGACCTCTGAGGAAGGAGTCGGTGGGACGTACATCCTGAGCACCGTGCCCGGAGACCGACCAGGTGGTGGACCCTCCGGTGCCGGTGGACACCCAAAGTACCACGCCGGCCTCCTCACACTCCCCAGATGAGGCGATTATGGCCCCTCCTCCCTCCGTCCCGCAGGAGGACTTTAGGGCCCACCAAGAACTCTTAAAAAGGGTGGCATCAAGCCTCCACCTCCAAGCAGAGGAGATGGAGGAGCCCTCGGACTCTCTGTTTAATGTGCTGTCCTCCTCGGCACCGGGCAGGGTGGCCTTGCCTCTCCATGAAGGGGTGGCGAAAATTTCAAATGCCCTGTGGCAAACCCCGGCTTCATTGGCCCCCATCTCTAAGAGAGCGGAACGCAAGTATTTTGTACCCACCAAGAGGCATGAATACTTATACATCCACCCTGCTCCTAACTCCCTGGTGGTCGAGTCGGTCAACCACAGGTAACGGCAGGGCCAGCCAGCCCCTACCCCGAAAAATAAAGATTCAAGGAGGCTGGACTCATTTGGAAGGAAAATGTATTCGTCCTTCAGCTTCCAGTTACGGGTAGCAAACCACCAGGCCCTCCTGGGCCGGTATGAGTTCAATCTGTGGGGCTCCCTGCCCAAGTTCGAGGACTCCCTCCAGGAGCACGATAGGAAGGAGTTCAAAGCGCTGGTGGAGGAGGAGACAGCGGCTGCCAGGGCAACCCCGCAGACAGCTTCGGATACAACGAACACGGCCGCGCGGTTCATGGCCTCCGCGGTGTCCATGAGAAGGGCGTCGTGGCTCCTGCTCTCTGGGCTGTCCAGTGAGGCGCAGACCTCCCTGCAGGACCTCCTGTTTGACGGCAAAGCTCTGTTTGTGGAACAAACGGATACAAAGCTGCATGGCCTGAAAGACTCCCGCACGACTCTCCAGACTCTGGGTCTCTACGTTCTGGCTCCAACTAAACCTAAGTTCAAGCCGCAGCAGACTCCCACTCAGGCCACCCACCCAAAATACGAGACCGCTTATAAGAAGTCACAGGACTATAAGAGGCACCCACAGAAGCAGTCTCGGCCTGCCCCCCAGCCTGGGTCCTCCAAGGGCAAGCAAGCAGGGAAAAGGCAGTTTTGACGGGATGTCTGGGGGCACCCTGCCAGTTCTCATCAGGGATCCACCCTGAATAAAGCTTCCCTTCTCCAATCGGTTGTGTGCTTTCCTCCCGGAATGGTCACAGCTGACCTCAGATCGATGGGTCCTCAACACCATTTCCTGGGGGTACACCCTCCAGTTTACTTCCTCCTGGCCCAACTACCCTCCGTCCCCGTCCCTCTTGGGGGACCCCTCACACGAGGCTCTGCTCGAGCAGGAGGTGGGGCGGCTCCTGGGCCTAGGAGTGGTGGAAGCAATACCCGGGGAGTTCAAGGGCAAGGGGTACTACTCCCGTTATTTCCTTATCCCGAAGGCCAAAGGTGGGCTCAGGCCCATCTTGGACCTGCAAGGCCTGAACCAATACATGGTGAAGCTCAAGTTCCGCATGGTCTCCCTGGCCTCCATCATCCCCTCCCTGGATCCCGGGGACTGGTACGCCACCCTCAATCTGCTGGACGCGTACTTCCACATTCATATATTCGAGGGGCACAGACGCTTCGTCCGTTTCACGGTGGGGCAGGAACACTACCAATTTACGGTCCTCCTGTTTGGCCTGTCCACTGCCCCCAGACTATTCACGAAATGTATGTCAGTGGTGGTGGCCTACCTCAGGCGCCGAGGGGTCGAGATCTTCCCCTATCTGGATGACTAGTTGGTCAAGGGCAGCTCCCGGTCGCAGGTGTGGGATCACGTGGCGCTCCTTCTGTCCACATGCACCACTTTGGGCCTGTTGGTAAACAATACCAAGTCCACGTTAGTCCCGGTTCAATGCCTAGAGTTTATCGGGTTGGTCCTGGACGCCTCGTCGTCCAGAGCCTCCCTCCTACCGGACAGGTTCGAGACCCTGAAGGGGCTCATCAACACGGCCACAAGGTTTCCGGTGACAACAGCCAGAGCATGCCTCCAGCTCTTGGGTCACATGTCGGCGTGCATGTATGTGGTCCATCACGCCAGACTCAGGATGAGGCCCCTCCAGCTCTGGTTGGCCTCAGAGTTCTCCCAGGCCAGGGACAGGATGGACAAAGTCCTCACGGTACCCGAGTCAGTGATCACCTCCCTACGGTGGTGGTCCTCCCCGAGAAACATGCTCTAAGGGGTCCCGTTCAGGGGCAGGGCCCCGTCACTGGAGCTGGTGTCTGACGCGTCGGACCTGGGGTGGGGGGCCCATGTGGGGAACGTTCAGATCCAAGGTCTGTGGTCGGCTCAGGATCTGCCCCTCCACATAAACGTCAAGGAGCTCAGGGCAGTCCGGCTGGTGTGCATGGCCTTCCGCTCGCACTTGGAGGACCGGGTGGTCAGGGTCCTCATGGACAACACGGTCTCGATGTTCTACATCAACATGCAAGGCAGGGCCCGATCCTCTGCCCTCTGCTGCAAAGCCCTCAGGCTGTGGGATTTTTGTATAGCCCACAACATCTGCCTACAGGCCTTACATCTGCCAGGTGCACGGAACACGCGGGTGGATCACTTGAGCAGGGACTTCTCCTCTCAGCATGAGTGGTCTCTCCACCCAGATGTGGTGCACAGACTTTTCCAAGTGTGGGGAACTCCCTAGGAGTTCGCGACTCGGCAGAACAGTCGCTGCCCCTGGTTCTGTTCCAGGGGAGGCGGGGGAGGGCTGGGACGGGGCTCTATCTCCGATGCCTTCCTCCTGTCCTGGTCAAGCCAGTTTCTCTATGCCTTTCCCCCGTTCTCACTGATCGGCAAGGTCCTGGAAAAGATAAAGACAGACATGGTCCGGGTCCTTCTGATTGCCCCGGCATGGCTCAGGCAGCATTGTTACGGGACCCACACCTTGTCGTCCTGCCCGGACCTGCTCTCCAAGGACCAGGGCCGCCTCCTCCACCCCAACCTAGTGGCACTCCACCTCACGGCGTGGCTGCTCAATGGTTAGGTCAGGAGGAAAGGACGTGCTCAGAAGGGGTTCAGCGCATCCTCCTAGAAAGCAGGCAGCCCTCCACGCACCGAGCCTACTTGGCAAAGTGGTCTCGGTTTTCCAGATGAACGGACGAGTGGGGCGTTTCCCCGGTGGCTGCCCCAATCCAGTTTATTCTGGACTACCTCCTTCATCTTAGAGCCCAAGGCCTGGTGCCCTCGTCAGTCAAGGTGCACCTGGCGGCCATATTGGCCTTCCATCCGCTAGTGCAGGGCCACACGGTATTCTCCCATGATATGACTGGCCGATTCCTTAAGGAGTTAGATCTCCTCTTCCTGTATGTTAGGCCCCGTGTCCCACAGTGGGACCTAAACCTGGTGTTGGCCCGTCTCACAGGGCCCCCGTTTGAGCCGCTAGCCACGTGCTCCTGGTCACACCTCTCGTGGAAGGTGGCCTTCCTGGTTGCGATCACGTCGGCTAGGTGGGTCTCAGAGCTCAAGGCCCTGACCTCCAAGCCCCCGTACACAGTGTTTCATAAAGATAAGGTCCAGCTCCGCCCACACCCTTCGTTCCTCCCGAATGTGGTCTCCACCTACCACATGGTCAGGACATTTTTCTGCTGGTCCTCTGCCCCAAGCCCCATGCGTCCAGTGAGGAGCGCTGCCTCCACACGCTGGATGTGAGACGGGCTCTTGCTTTCTACCTGGAGTGGACTAAGCCGTTTAGAAAGTCCTCACAACTGTTCATTGCCTCGGCCAAGCTCGTGGAAGGTCAGCCGATCTCCACTCAGCGCCTCTCCAACTGGATCACCTCATGCATCCATACCTCTTATGACCTGGTGGGAATCCCTCCACTACCAATTGTCGGCTGCCTTTTTGGCCCATGTCCCCATTCAGGACATTTGTAGGGCTGCCACGTGGTCTTCAGTTCACACATTCACCTCGCACTATGCGATCGTCTCCCAGACCAGGGATGACGCCGGGTTCGGCAGGGCTGTGTTCTGTCCTGAGAATTTTTGAACTCCTACCCACCTCCAACAGATATAGCTTGGAATCACCTATTGTGGAATACACATGAGCAATCACTCGAAGAAGAAAAGACAGTTACCTTTTCCGTGTTCTTCGAGATGTGTTGCTCATGTCTATTCCACATCCCGCCCTCCTTCCCCTCTGTCGGAGTTGTCTGGCAAGAAGGAACTGAGGGTGGAGGGAGCACGCAGCGCCCCTTCTACCGCGCCATGGAGGCGCCACTCCAGGGGTACTGCTAGGGGAAAAACTTCCGGCACTGGTGCACATGGCCAGCACGCACACCTGTTGTGGAATAGACAGGAGCAACACATCTCGAAGAACACCAGTTACGGAAAAGTTAACTGTCTTTTTGGTTCACTCTAAAACCCTTCATCCCTTTTAAATTGGGGTGCATAGAGATTACCTTTCCCAGGGTTTATGCCCATCATGAACCCTGTTTTCAATATATTCATCAGTAATTATTTCTGCCTGTAAGACTGAATCAGGTTTCTTATCACAGACTGCTACTCTGATTTCTTCAGGAGCCATCTTTAGCAACTTCTCTAGTGTAATTAACAGTTTATCAAAGTCACCATAAGATCCTGCTCCTGTATTCCACTTTTTAACAAAACCAAGCAATTTATAAATACATTCCACATGAGTAGCATTATCAGACATTCTGAGCTTTATAAATTTCAATCTATAAAACTCAGGAGTAATCTTAAACCATTTCAACACAGTTTCTTTTAACTTTCTGTAATCCAAAGCCTCCTCTGCCCCCATTTCATTGAACACTTGCCTTGTTTTACCAGTCAGTTTGGTCAGGAGAAACGCCATCGTTTTTTCATCTGGAATTTTCTAGACATCACACAGAGGCTCAAAGGTGGATAAAAATTCTTCAGAATCTTTATAAATTGGACAGACTTTATCCCAGTCTCTGCTGTTGAGAGGGGATGGAATTCCCGGCGGTGGCAGCCTCTCTTGCACTCCCAGGACTTGAATTTGGAGTGTGGCAGCTTCCATCTGGTTTTGATGTGCTTCTTTCTCAACTTGCAGCTGTTCCATTTGCCTCTTGTGAGCTTTCTTCCTCCATCTCCTCACTTGCTAGCTTCTCCCTCAATCAAAGGTCTGCCATTTTTACTTCATGCTCAAGACGCTGCTTGTCTGCTATCATCTGCATTCAGATTGCTTCTTCTGCTGCTTCTTGATCACATTCCATGAGCAAATCTCTCATCTCCTGATCTGAGATGTTCCCTGTAAGGGCTATTTTCTTATCTTTACATACTTTTTAAAGTTATTTTGTGTTCATAGCCTCATAGGATCGTGACTAACTCATGGTCACTAATTTTTAACCCTTAAAACTTCCTCAATATCAAATTAAAATTTTGGATATACCCATCTAGAGCCTAATCTCCAGTGGGTGAAATAGGATATTGAAGGTCCATCTTTCACAGGCTCAGGAAAAGCAAAATGTGTTTTATGACCAATGCTAATCTAACAAATGCAATAGAAGGGATTATATATCATAGAATCATAGGACTGGAAGGGACCTTAAGAGGTCATCTAGTCCAGTCCCCTGCACTCATATGATTGAATCAGTCCAAACAATCAAAGCTCCAGGCTTATTGCATGGGTCTCTAGTGTGTGGAAGCATGTAGAAATGATGACTATCAGCTTTTGCTCTAAGGAGTGGAAAGAAGCAAAGTGGCTTCACTGGTCCACTGTCCAAAGAAGTATCACCATTTTGTCCATGAAGGTGGAAAGAGGGGCACAGAATTGATGGGAGGGGGTAAAGAGGAGAGGGATTTTTGGTGGGGAACAGTTTAGAATGTTAGAATACTTCACCAGACTGTGAGATTGGAGAAGTCATGGGATCACAGGGTACAGAACATAGGTGCAGCCACGGAAAAAAATTAGTGGATACTTATCACCCACCGGCAGACAGCTCCCTCACTACCCCCTCCCCCCAGCACCTCCTGTCCGCCGGCAGCCACACCAATCAACTCCTCCCCTTCCCTCCCAGCGCCTCCTGCCTGCCATGATCAGCTGTTCTGCGGCGTGCAGGAGGGGCTGGGAGGGCAAGGGAGGAGCAGGGATGGGGCACGCTCGGAGGAGGGGCCGGAACTGGGTGGGAAAAAGTGGGAAAGAGGTGGAGCGGGGCAGAGTGGGGGTGGGAAGAGGCAGGGTGGGGATTTGGGGGAAGGGAGCAGGACCAGGGTTGGAGCAGGGGGTTGAGCACCCCCGGGGCACAGAGGAAGCTGGCGCCTGTGGTCCAGAAACAAAACACTTTGGCCACCAGCGAAAGTGAACTGCTTAGGAATGAGTCACCCACAGAAATAGCGAATGGCTGGAGAATTCAATCCAATGGCACAATTAGATCAACCATATTGCAGACACTCAACAAGCCCAAAACTACACCACCACCACGATGTGCTGGAAAATATCCACATAATTAACTTTAGACGCTTGTTTACTTCCCACCCACTCCCCTTTCCTTTGCTGTTTTCCACTCAGAGCCAATGAGGTACTCAAGTGAGCAGGAGCCGGGAGTTAGACTTTCTCAGGTCACTATGTTCTGGACTCAGAGGAGCTCTGGGGAGCCAAAGGGAGGCCTGTGCTGTGACAGGAGATGTGGTGGGGTCTCTTGTTCTTGGTGTCTTCGGTAACGTTCTAATTCTGAAGATGGCTGTAGCTGGTAGTTCAGTGACATATTCTACAGCCATACTGCAGGCCTGGCAGCACGAGTCTAACCTCAGTCCAGCGCTGGAGAGCCTGCTGCCTCTGCTTTGTACGGTTAAGTAGGGTTGAGGCTTTGGAGAGATGTACTGAAGACTCCGCTCTTCCCTTCTCTCATTCTTTGTCTTCTTTTGCCTGGTTCTGGCAGTACCCCTTCCCTGTGTAATATTTAGTCACTGGTAAATTCCTTCCCATAGAGGGCACCAAAGCTTTCATTATCTTCCCCTCTGATACAGAATTTGCTATGTGGCATGCCATGACTTGAGCTGCAGATATGACTGGCACCCCCGCGCCCCCCTTTTCCTTGTCTCCTGTCAGTGTGCCACAGAGAGGGGAAGCAAAAATTGCTTTCTTGCCTTCGGGCAGCTCAAAACTAGCTTTGCCCTCCTCTTCATAGAATTCATTATCATCAGCCGGCAGAGAGTGATCCAGCAGTGACATGCTCCGTTTCTCATCCCCCAAGTCCCTGAGCTAATCAGGTTCCCTGACTGTGGGCCGGATTGTAACCAGTGGCTAAACTGAAGGGCTTTGGATATGATCCCTAGTTTTTTGAATCATCCAGGCCGCATGATGCAGAGCTGTATTGGAATTAGTGATGTAGAGTGGAAAGGCTCTGACTCCTGTTACCAGTTCCAGGCAAGCAGGCCTATTGCTGGGGGAGAAAGTGGACAATAGCCACTTTTCCAGCTGTCTCTTGTCACTGCACCTGGACCACATCTCTGCCCCT